GATACTCTGCCATTCTCTGCCAGCACGTGCCGAAATTAGTTCTCCATTTGGTGGTGGCCCTCTGAGAGCAATTCCCATTGAGAAGGGAACAAAGGCCGCGACCCCGGGGTCAGAGTGTAATGCAGGAAGCATGACCTCCCCTTTGTTCAGAACAGCACTGTTTACTCTGCCTAAGTAAAGATCACCAATACATTAACTAAAGAGGATTAAAAAGGTCATATCCCCAGGGATGGAGCTCACGCAAGTGGCAACTCTCTTCAGTCACTAAATCATTTGACTTCCCACTACCCCCCCCCTTCAAAATAGAGACACCTTAAGCTGCCACAGCTCAATGTCACAGTATTTCCAGAGCCAAAGTCTGTACAAATTCCTGTTTCAAAACCAGGTTATTTTCTGCACAGCTAGTCAGTTGTTTTGAAGTAATTTTTAAAGTTATCAAAATATTTTAAGTGGAAACTATCACCTCAATACAATTTTTCCTTTTATATTTCCTGCTGAAAATTTCTGAGTTGATTTATAAAATTGTTTGGGGTCTTAAAGTGGTTATTAAAAAGTGCAATTTTTTTATAGCTATTATAAATGAGATTCTTAAAATATTCCATAGTCTGTGGATGGGCAGAGAAGGTGCTTGTTGCAGTAGACAATTGCTAACTCCCTGATGGTTCACGAGCAAAGAGGAGAACAAGGAAAACAAACTGAAAGTACGCTATCTATGAAAATTCACATATGCCAATATCTGAGCTTTACTGGGCTACAGAAGCACTTCTTTGGGCTATTAAACTTCCTCTTATCAACTTATTTTAAAATCTTTGAACATCATTATTATTAGGAATATTAACAGAAGCATCTCTTGAAACACCTAAATTAATGCTGCCTTGTTAAAATATGGGAGGCAACACAGCCAGTTAGAGAGGAGTGCCTCCTTCCCATTCTTACCTCTAATCCACTCGCCTGCTGGATGATCCCAGCTTTTGCTTTGCACCTTGGTTTCCTCATCTCTGGGGATGTGGCTCACTGGGATGCAGATTTTACCATCAGTTACTCGGCCAGGCTGGGAGGAAGAGAGCATTTGTAAGGGAGTGGTCTAGACAGATATTTTCCCTTCACCACCCTCAGGCAGTAGCACCTCTGATAAAGTTGAACATTATCTTAGAAGTTCCAGAAAAAAATAACAGGAACAAAGCCAGGCAGGCAGGGCAAGCTCTTGATCCAAGCCTCCGGCCCAGGGAGCTCAGCAGCAGAGACAAAGCCCACCCGGGTAAACGCAGCTGAAATCAGCACAAGATCACCACCCATCCCACCAGCAGTGCCAGAGCCAAAGAACAAGGTCCTGGAGCACCAGGGTACAGCAGCAACTGCAAGGGCAGGGCTGAGAGGTGAGCAGGCGGGCAAGCACAACGTGAGCGCTGAGCAAAGCTTTGTAACAGGCTGAGGCAAAGAGGAACCTTGTCCAGAAAGCAAAAGCACTGGACTGAAACAACTAGAAAAAAGAATATACTTAGAAATTAATATCTGACAATGGAGAGTGGGAGCATAAGGACTGAACCAGTGACACAATAATAATTTACTGACATACATTAGAAGCAGGAAGACTGCACAACAGTTGTCTGGCAAGTCTGAAATAGTACTGGGAAACAAAAGGAGTGAAGAGAGAGGACAAAAAGCATTGCAGAAAAGGTAACGGTTGATTATGACCTTGAGCTGTTTAGTCCTATAAAAGAGGAACCTCACCCTTTCCCACCCTGTATGACCATATTGACATTTCTTGTTAGCTGGGTTCCTGATCTGGGGTTTTCATAAAAAAATATAATATACCAATTACTTCTTCCAGTGGAAATTCCTAGTCTTTTCCAGTTCTTGTTCACCTTCTCACCTGCCAACAGCACCTTCCCTCTAAGATGGGAAGCAACAACACCACTGCAGAGCTACAGAATGAGATGTCCCTTCTCTTGAACAGGAAAGCAGAGAAAACATGACTTTGTGACACAGAATTCTTGTACAATCAATTTTTTGGGGGGGTGGAGCAATCTTGACCCTACCGCATATTCTGAGATACACCCCTTTATCTCCTGATGTCCAGAAATCCAGACAGACCCAAAGGTACCTTTTAGGTTAAAAAGAAGTTATCAGGCTAATACAGATGGAAAACTCTATGATATTCAAGTCGTCAAATTGTCCCCCCTCTGGTCCCTTCAAACAGCAAATCCCATTAATCAATTCTTTTGCAAGTAAAGGGTAAAAGAGCAGCAGACAGCAAAGCAGAAAGCGCTGAAATAACTGGATAAATTAAAAGGCAAGCCACTCCAAGGACACACACAGGCTTTCGGAAGCTGCTCAAGGTTGGAGGCAGGGTTTCCAACAAAAATCTGCACTCTCCTATCAGGAACGAAAGGGTAGCAGTCCTCAAAAATAGCCACAAATGATGATCCAGATTACATGCCAATGAATTCTGTGACTTAGTAAACCGTCTGGAAGGCTACTTTAAAAGATTATAATTTTAATGCCTGAGCAGGGATTACATAATGGAGAGAAAAACAGCATTGCTAACATAATGAAAATATGTCTTTTTTCACTTGGAGGCACCCACAGAAGAAATTATTATTTAGTTGGCCTTTCAAAAGGGCTTTGACAATGTGACCCGTGAAGGCCATAAAGAAAATGCAGTCATCGTGACGAAGTTGGAATCGTGATTAAAAACCAGCTAAGCAGCCAAAAGTAAACTGTTGGAATGAAAAGACACTTTGACACGAGAAAGTTTACTAGTTGCTGCATGCAGAGGTCATGCTGGTATCAACTTTTACCTTTAGTTAGTGGTCTAGAACGATCAGCTGTAAAATAAGAGTGGCAAAACTGACAGGCAAGGGTAGGGTATTGGGTTACTGAGGGGTTTAACAAAGTTGAGTCAATGTGAAACATGGTCATTTTTTTTTTAATAATTGCTAAGGAGATCATATCGCAACATTCTCAAAGGGAAGAGACCTGAGTGCCATCGTGACAAGTTGACCAAGGCTTTCAAGGATAGGCAGCAATGTCAGATAAGCCAAGCAGGAAAACAGGCTCCTGTATTCAAAACCTTACCCTTCTACTATCCACCTGCCAGGGAGATACCTTCCTGGAGAATGCTGTCTGCAGTTCTTGTTGCCTTCCCTCACTACAGCAATCACAGGACTGCAAGGGCAGGTGACTGAAACAATATGACTTTTACAAGAGACTGCCACATATGAAGACAAAGTAATTGAACTATTTACGGTGGTGAGCACACGAGCAACAGGGAAGGCAAAGAGAGGCACAGTTTGAAAGTCAGGAACTATAGCCTGACTCTCACCTACTTCCAATCCTGAATGGGCAATTACTCAGTTAAATTAGAAAAACAGTAATTTTATACTATGGGAATATATTATTTTACCACATGCAGACTGAGCATGTGAAAATCAGTCCATCATTAAGGGACATCAGTGGGAATCTGAAAGAACAGACTTCTACACACAGCCTAGAAAAATACGGTGTTAAATGGGATTGCTGCGTGGAAAGACCATAAAGACATTTGCACAAAGCCACGATGGAACTACTGGCCAAGGGATCCACCTGGTCCACTTTCCGGCAAAGACAGGGTATTCCAGAAGGACCCCATGCTGGTTATCTTCGCCCTCCGCTGTCTTACCACCCAACCTTTTGTAAAAAATGTCAGGGTAAACCTGGCATTAATTAGCCTGTGGAGCTGACCCAAGGCAGTAACTTTCACCGCAGCACCTCAAACCACGCACAGCTACTTTGCTACCTGCTCTCCCCCCTCACAAATAATTAGCAAGAGCCTAAATTGTAAGACACTGTTTCACCAAGTAAATACATTTCCTTTTTTATCTTACTGTCTTTTTTTCCCCCATCCGCGCGTTGTTATTTGCAAAAACCACTTAACAATTATGAGAGATTCCAAGATGTGTGTCAGATCCTGGGATACTGCCACTCACGTAGTGGTTTGCTACACTCAGCCTTTGGTCTTGTGGCTCACAATTCACCCGAGCTGTGAGAACAGCTCACCACAACCCACATGCTGCTGCTCCTCAAAGGAAGACAAGGGTACATAATTAAGAGATGATGAGCTGAAATGTAAGACAGGAGATGTGGGAGCAGATTCTGTAACCACACCGGTGAGCGGTTTTACTACTAAAGAAGTTTCTTCAGCTCCATCTTTTCTCATGTAGAACTCACACGTTTTTAAAATACATTTGCAGCAGCAGAGGGGAAAAAATGACTGCTACAATCATGCCACTGCAGAAAAATAGTTTTAACATCAATTGTATAGAATTAAGATTGTAAATCTGCATTATTAACAAACTGTCAACACTTGTTACACTGGCAATGTCTTAAAAAAAACACCAGTTTTACTAAAAATACTAGCAAAATCTCATCCCACAAGAATTGTGACCTGAAAATGCTCTCACAAGTGGTCATAATATAAAGAACTATGGACAGAAATATCTGTGTGTCACGTGCCAGCTGGAGGACTAACATCATGGAAATGAAAATCCAAGAAGTGGGTACAGACCTACTCTGGAGGATACAGGATCAGTCCCTCGCTGGTTATTCAGAATAAACAAAAAGTCAAACCACTTTTCTTATTATTCTGTAGAGGTGAAACTAGTTTTTGTTGTTCTTACCATGACTTATTAGTGAGAGAGTTGAGAGGGCTGGAGCAAAACCAGGTGTGAATACAGCTACCAAACTAAAGTGAGAACCACTGACCAACCCTCAGAAACCAGCACAAGCAATAACAGGATTACACGCTCACTTGTTTTCCAGTTTAAACAAATAAATTCAGTTTTACCTAAAAGAAGGCTTCATTTTGTCCTGATGAAGAGCCACATCTCCACAAGGCAGTGACCCTCTACAGGGCCAGAGCCTCCAAGCAGCAGCCACACCCTCCTCTTCCTCATTTTTTTTTTCCACTGATCATAAAATATTTTCCAAGCCAGGCCCTGAAAAAAACAAAACAAACGCCACATTTTTAATGGACACCAGATATCACATTGCTGATTCAATTAGGCAGATTAGGAACAAATAAATGTATTTTCACACACATATTTTTATTTTCTGTTTCATTTCAAAGAAATTCAGTAGGCTTGATTTGTCTCTCTATTCAAACCGAAGGCGAGGAACACTGAAAAGGTGTTGTACGCTGAGGGCAGAACCAAGCCCTCCAGCTGGCTCCTTTTAGAGTTTTATGTAACATGTTGTCCACTGGTACTGGAAAAATTCACAAGTCAGGGCTTTTCAGAGCACCTTCAGACAAGCCTATATATTTTGTAGCAGTAACAGATGCCAATGCAAGACAAGCTGAGAGAGACATCCCGGAGCTTGTCTCTTCAGCCCATGGGGTTGTATGGATTTGACACTCAGGCAGATCTAACTCTGATTTTTTTAGGGGGAAAAAAAAAAAAAAAAAAAAAAAAAAAAAAAAAAAAAAAAAAAAAAAAAAAAAAAAAAAAAAAAAAAAAAAAAAAAAAAAAAAAAAAAAAAAAAAAAAGTAAAACTTTCCTGGCCCACTCAAACTCTCCCAGATCATCCAATCATTCAGATCACAGTATCTGCAGCGCAGTTAATAATGATACAGGAGAGCAAGTATCACACAACACGTCCTTACTCTTATTACTAATATTTCACACCATTTATTTGATTGATAATCTGGCCATACAGAGAACTATCTGGAAGCTGATTGTTGCTATAAAATGTTTTGCATATTGTGTCATCTGCTGGCTTTAATTCATTAGCTAAAGAACACTGTAATTATACATTTCATATTCTATTTAACTAGAAAATATTCACACGAATACAAAGTGATAAAACCAACTTCCTCCCATATCTTGAAAACCACCCATTTATTTGCAAATAACCCGCTCTAGCATTCCACAAAATACAAATATTTAGTGTTCAAAACACAACATTTAGGGTTCTGCAACTTAAGCTCAATTTTCTTTTGCAAATAACTGCACATATATATTTTTGTTCTACTATCATTAGGTCTGCGAAATTAATATTAAAGTAAGCTGTTTGCTTATTTAAATTCAGAACTAAATAAGCAACCTGAATCCACAGCTTTATGATATTATCCTTGCTGAAAAATCAAATTAATCTTAAAATAGGAACACTGAGGCTATGCTGAGATGTCTGTCAGGGGATGACAACATATATTACAGATAGTATACTAAATCATGCCAAATCCAAAATAATTTGGTAAGCCCAGCCCCTTCTACATATTTATTCATGTACAATTCCATACCCCCCAAAAAAGACTGTTGTAAGCAAGTGATCCAGTCATCAAGGTGGTGTTCCCAGTTCCATTCAGTCCTGCATCCTAACAGGTTTCCAATCAGCAATTCTGATATCTCAAAGCCTGCCTAGCGCTGTACTTGCACACACAGAGTAAAACAGAATTAACTTGCAGCGTGTACCAATCCTTAAGTATTTGCAGACATGTTTATTCTCACAGAAATCTTTGTTCCCTAAAATGCAGAACATTAGGTGCGACGTGCACCTCCCATCAGACTGGAGTGCTCCAGAACACCACTGACTTTTAAATCCAAATACACAGCAAGGGAAATGCCAGCACTTTCAGATTTTACTCCTTACTAAGATTCCCCGCTCCGAGCCCTCCCAGCCCTGTATTCCATACTGGAACAGCACACTTACTCCAGACTGCATTCCTATTTACGGAGCTGCTCTGCAATAAAGGAGTAAACAGGAATCCAAGGGTTAACCGAAGGAAAAAACCAAAACAACAAACCCCAGCACCGAAACGCCCAGCCACGCTGCAGACCTTGCAAGAAGAGGAAAACGTTCAGCAGACAACAGCCCAACAAAAAGCAAACAGAATTTAGTGCCGCTATTGCCTGGATACCAGCTTGGGATTTAGGCAGCCTTGGATTACAAGGACTATTCCCCTGAAAATCCAGCCCACAGTTCCTGCACTGTTTTCTACCAATACCACATCCAAACTGTGACTAAACACCTCATTATGCTCCTCTGGCACTGTCTGAAAGCACACATATTGTACAATTTTCTGGGGCACCTAAAAGCAGAGGGGAAAAAAGCGGCTATTTTTCACCGATCGGTAATGATGAACAGCACGTTCCCTGCAAAAGCTTGCACCATCAGGGCATTTTCTTTCACCCCCCTTTTCTTTTTGTGTAGGCAACAGGTGATAAAATACAGCCCCAGCCTTCAACTTTAAAAATAAAAAAAAAAAAAAGCATAGAGTCTACAGGAAATCTACACTGTAACACAGTCTTTTTTAATAAATTAAAATTGAATGAAGAGGTTTAACTGGGCCTCTACATTGGCATCAGAAAGTAAATGCTTTTCTTAATACTCATCTGTAGAGGTTTCATTTAAAGAAAATACAGCCCTCACAGTTACAAATACTAACCAGGGCCTTGAGGTAACAATCTGGTCTCGGCAGATCTTAAAAGAGAAAACCCAAAATGCATTTTCAAAGGAACTGAATGCCTCAGATATTTCACTACAGTCTCCTTTTCCAATAACTTGCTAATTGATCTTAAATACATAGATGAATTATGAGGCAATAACCTCCAATTTTCTTACCTCTTACTCCAGACAAACATTATATGCTGATTTATAGATATCTGAAATATTTAATTTGCTGTTCATGGCACTTAAACAGTTTATCTAATTTATGAGAAGTAAGGATCCCACATTAAAGATTGCTTCTGTTTTCTCCTTTGAGCCGCACCACTTCAAAAGCATTTTCCCCGTCTATTATCATTTAGAAATAGTCTCCCTTTGTGCACTGGACATGCTGCTGTAGCTTAGAAGGCCGTGGCAGTGACATGATTCTCTTGCCAGTCCCCACGCTGCTCATTAAATAATTTTACTCCCATATGTACACACGCAGCTGGTCAAGAAATGACTGTGCTGCATTCAGCTACATCTAGGACACTTCCACAGCAAGTCTTGAAATAAAACCCCACTGAGCTACAAACCCGATGAGCTTCCCTTGCTGCGCATTTCCGAGCCTCTCGTTGCTCACGCTATGTTTCAAAGCTGAGCTGCGCGGTAGCAACCACCACACCTGCGTCTGTTGGAGCAAAAACCCTATCACAATAGACTAAAATCGGCTCACTTCTGCTAATGCCCACTTCTCAATCCGCAAGTAAATTGACTCTTCCTGTAAAGATAGGATTTCCTGAAATATTTACATGCCTAAAGAACAGCTTTCTGTTTTGGAAAGCTTTGCAATTTTTTCCCTTTGCAAAAATTCGGCTTTGCAGCCCCAGCGAAGAGCTCCGGGTACAGCAGATGGTTAAAATTCTGCATCATTTTTGAGAGCCTCAGAAAAGCACTGCCTTTTTTCGGGGGAGGGCGGGGGTGGAGGAGAGGAGAGAAAAAAAGCTTAGAACAGCAATTTGCAGCCCTTTTTTTTTTTTCCTTGACAGCAGCAAGCCCCGCCTCAGTCTGGCCCTTCCTCCAACCTCTGCTAACCTAAAAACCAGCGCCAGTCTGGCAGCGGGCCAGGGATTCAAAAGTAAACATTATCCTCCTGCCATTTTTTTAGTGCTGTTTATCACATCCTGCTCCCTTTTTTTTTTTTTTTTTTTTTTTATTATCCCCCCCTCATCATAGCTGAAATCCCCGGCTCTACCCCGGATTGTGTGTCTCTCCGCAGCTCCATGCGGAGCTCCGAGCCCGCTCCTGCGCTCCGCGGCAAACCTGCAGAGGCGTCCGAGGGATGTCCCTGGCCGGGGCTGCGGGCTGTCCTGGACGGAGAGCGGAGCCAGGCGCACCTTTCCCTGTGGATGTCCCGTGGGATGGGGCGGGACGTCCTTCCATCACCAGCGCAAGGGCTCTTCCCCGCTCCCCACACAATGCACTCGCCTCTCCCAGCGCCGCAGCTGCCGCAGCAAATGCGGCTTTTGCCTCCGCGTCTTCCCCATTTGCTTATTTAATTGTACCAGGAGTGCTTAAAAACCAAACCCATCCATAGGCGGACACAGCCCTGCACCTGACTCTTTTGTTATCCCTACCGCTCATCCCTATTCCCGCTCCCTTCCGCTCCGCGCTGCCTCCTCCCATCTTGGGCTGCTCTTCGCTTATAAAGGCTCTGCAAAACCCCGACTCATTAGACTGGCTGCCCGTAGGTGGCTTTCACCCACTCGTGTGCTGCACTGAGAGGATAGAGGGCACAGCGGCGGGAGAAGGGAAAAGGACATTTTAAAAATAATAATTTAAAGGAAAAAAAAAAAAGTAGGGAAGGAGGGCGGGAAGGAAGAATAACTAAGAAATGTGCCTCCCTGGGGAGAGCGGGGTGTTGCGGCAGGAGCGCTGCGGGAGGGGCGGGCGCGGGCCGGCCAGCACGGCCATGTTGTGCGCGGGGTCAGCGCGGGGCACGGCGCTGCATCCGCGGAGATCTGCGAGATTCACCCGGCAAACACCACCCCACACACACACACACACACCTCCTCCTGCCCGGCGGGACCAGCGAGGAGCCCTGCCCAGGGCCCGGCCCGACCGCGGGGTCACCGCGACAACAAAAGCGCTCCCTCGTTATTTATTGATGGTCGGGGCGTGTGTGCGCGCCGAGGAGGAGCCTTTGTGCGCGCCCCGCACCGCCACGCGGGACGGGACGGCCCGCGGGCTCATCAATAATTGCTCGCCATCTCCATATTGAAATCGCGGGGCAGCGCATGATTAATTAAGGAGCAGAAAAAGCAAGTGGCGAGCGCGAAGGCCCGGCCGCGTTAACCCCTTCCCGCCCAGAAACTCGTCGGGAATATTAATTAATGCTGCTGTTTGTGTGTCGTTCGGCGACCACGTGAGGCCTCTGGAAAAAGCTCAGGGGACCCACGGACTACTGAACAGAATTTGCTGCAATCCGCTCATCATTTGGGGGGGGGGAAGAAGACTTATAAATCTTAGCTTGACTGTACAATAATGAATTTTCATGCAGCGAGGT